GTGGAATCTCTATGAGAACACATTCTTCGTCACCATTTGGTTGTTATCAGAGTTGGCGCTCATCTACTTCTTCACCACAATTCTCATATTCTCCGGTCTTTACGCCTATTCTTGGAGTATACAAGCGGTCGGAATCTTGGCTATAATGGTATTGATTGCACAAAAAAAACAGACAAACATTTAATTAATGAATGTTTAAAACACTATTAATTACAGCACTTGATAGCAATACCCGCCGCCTATTTCGGCATCCGTTACGACAAACGACTACTCGTTTTGTTAAGTATACTGTTGTCGTCCATTTGGCTCATACTTATCATCGTATATGTGATCCTCTTTATCACCAGTAGTGGAGGTATTCATTACATTGTCTCTCAAATTGTCCCAAAAAATCAACAATTTTTGCACTCTTTTCAGTGAAGACTGAGTTCAACAACAGATCTCTGCATCACTTGGTTTTGACGGCTTATTCAATGATAAACTTGGCGTTCATTGTGTTGTTGTCCATCAATATCATCAATGAGACCAAAGCTGATGCCACTAAACAGAGCCCGAAAGCGGCACAACAACCACCGCCCGGTGCGCCGCCCTCTCCCCCAGCGGTCATCATTAAACCAAAGCCAGTGACAGTTCCCACACAACCCAAGAAGTAATAATTATAAGTTTGATTACAAAATCGCACCAAAATTTGCTATTTTTAAATCCATTTAACATTTTTCTGTAAAGAATTATCATTTATTTGACTTTATTTACACTTTAAACATATTTTCGAAATAAAATGCATTAAATTTTAATTTAAAACTTTAAAAACAATAAATTATGAGTAAAAACATTAAATTATGAGTAAAAACGTTAAATTATGAGTAAAAACATTAACATTAAAAAACAATAACATTTTAAGTTAAAAATAAATATATTTATAAATAATAAAAATTAACTTTTGTTTCAAAACATAACTTTAAATGTAATTAAAAATGCTATTTTAAATGAGATCTTAGGCGTCAATTGGTTTCACTTTTCGTGGTCTCCCCTTAGGTCTGGGCTGTCGTACGACTGCGTTATCGGCGCTCCGATTGGCCACCAGTGAAGCGAAGGCCAATTTGTCAGCCTTTGGTTTACGGCCGCGTTTTTTGGGCACTTTAACGGCGTTCGGGTCAATGTTCTCCTTGTCTTCGCTCAACAGATCCACCACTTGTTGCAAACACTTGTGGCTCTCGCGAACAGCGGCCTCGGGTTTGATTGGCAACGCATTCAGAGGCATAGTCTCGTCGGTGACCGCAGTTGTGGCCATAGTGTTAGTGTCGTTGGTGTCCATCGGCTGGTGCTGTCCGTACGCGAACTGCATGTGGGCGACGGCAGTGATGGCCGATCCGTCTTCGTTCTCGACAATCATATACTGGTGTCCGTCGGTTGTGGTCACGTATTTGGCGCCATTCTGTTCGTGCACTTCAAGCACTGTCGACGAGTCGATCGTCATATTAGTGGCCGAAGACATGTCCAATGAGGTCGACGACGACTCGTATAACTGGTATTCGCCGGTCATTAGATCCGGATAGAGGTCCAGGAGTCGGGCCGACATCGGCGGTGGAATTGCCGGCAAATAGTCCTACAAAACACACGACAAACACAATATATCAGTAAACGGTGGGGCAGTTGGGGGTGAGAGGGGGTCGGGAGGGGTGAGTACTGACCGAACACTTAACGCCATCGCATTTGGAGAGATGTAAGAGGAAGGCGACGGTGTGCTCGAGGACTGTGGCCTTATCTGTCTTGTCGGTGATCCCCGGGACCAGCGATCGCAAGGCATCGCACGAGCACTTCATGCGCGACCGCCGCAGACGCTCCTTATGGTTGTGCAGTTGACGCGACTCCTGTGACGGACAGTACGGCCGTTGTGTGCGCTCGCCGTTCACCACAGCCATCACCGACGTGTAGTCCGGCCGCCCGTCGCCCGACTCCAGACAGTGCAGGTGAACGGCCGGCACCGACGCCTCCTCTGCGCCCATACTTACGGTCGTATCGGTCGGGAAACCGCCGGTCATCGGCTCGTCGTGTGGCGACTCTTCGCACCCGTCGTCGCCAGTGGTTAGCATCGGTTGGTGGCAGTCGTGGTGGTCGTCGTCGTCGTCGGCGGCGGCGGTCGTCATCTGGTGGTCATCGGTGGCCACGCGTTGAGCCGAAGAGCACTCCAATTGCGTCCACACTTTGGGCGACGACCCGACGGACGTCCCGGACATTGACTTCTGGGAGAGAGAGTGGAAGTGATTGAGTGGTGAGTGAAGTGATGGTTAGTGTGTTTGCGGACACAACTTACCGGCGAATCCATCCAAGAGTTGATCCAATAGTGCACTCAATGGTGTGTTAACTCACAGTTCAAAGCGTGACTCACAGTTCAGTCTCACGTCTGCCAGCGATTGAGTGTTTTTTGCGCCGAAACGCGCGTTCCATTCGTACGCCTTCTCTCCCATTGGTTCCCAACTGTGCGCTCACAACAACCGCTTAACGCGTACACTGTTTAGCCCAACAGTTAACACGTTTTATAAGTAAATCAGTTTGAATTGCATTGCATTACAAACTGTTACGCATATAAAACGTGTCGATAAAGTCGTGTATAATTGACTCCCTTTACGGCTAAACTCTATGAGAAAGTGTGCGTTCATTACGCGACGTATTATATGTCGCGACCCATCGAACTGTTATTGTGGTCCATAAATAACGTGAACACAAATATTTGTGCCAAACATTTGTATGAATGAAAAGCTGAGAGCAAAATGCGGACAAACAATGAGTAAAGTTTACGTTAGAGAGAGTGAGTGAACGGTGAGTGTGTTGTGTGTGTTGTGAGAGAAATGTTTGTTTCGTTTTACGGTTTATTCTCTCAACCAATAAATGGCTGACAAAGAGTTGCAATGAATGAGTGATTTGTGGCACTCATTGCCCGTCGACGACAACAACACAACCGAACCGTCCATCGCATTGAACTGTGAGTCCGAATGGACTGACGGGTCGACAGTTAGCGCATTGATTGGACCGAAAGACTAATGCCTTGTGTTTTACAATACCATTGGTTTTGTCACAACTATATTGTTATGTAATCAATACTTGCAGAGCTTTATGTTTGTAAACAAACAACGAATTGATTGTTATTATTGTTGTCATAATTGTTGTAATTATAGTGTGTTTTGATTGTGTATTCAATTTAATTGAGTTATCGTTTGATCGCAAATGAATGGTGTATTCAATGCTCAAAGTGTTGACCAAATGTTTTGACTGCAAACCAAATGAATAGTGCAATCGATTGGACAACAAATGGATATAAACAGCGCTAATAATACATTGAAAGTCAATACAAATCCATTGATTAATACCAATAATAATAGCAATAATAATGCGTTAATTAATAACAATTTACAACCGATTATAACCCCAAACCAAACGATGACTAATAGTATCGGTAATAGTAATAGTAATGCTATTAATAATAATAATAGCGTTAATAGTAATGTTGTAAACACTTGTAATAATAGTAATATGAATGCAATCAGAAATTTAAATAATTATAATAATAATAACCACAATAAAAGTCATGCCATTATTAAAGGTATTGTAATTACTGTTGTTTTAATTGTATTTCTAATATAACTGTAATTATAATTGATTTGAATAGTGTTTTGAGTGTATTATACATACATTGTATGCAATGATAGGCCGTATTGTGTGAACACAATTGCCGTCTCCTTAAGAGCTTTAGTGATAAAAGCTATTAAACTCTTGAGTTTGATATGACTTTGTTTTCAAGTCCTCCTTATTATCACTGTATATGCGATACGAGTTTTGTTCACATTTGTTATTCAATTACTTTTTAATACTTTATTGTCTAATAATGTATTGTCTTCTCTCTCACTATAGATTGCATTTTTGCCACTCATTTATCCATCAAATGTATCCATAGTTTAGTTTTTTAGCTTTAATTTTGTATAAACAGTGAATTTTTGATGCATTTTAAGTTTGAAATACTTTTTGTTTATTTATTTAATGCCTTTTTGTAGACATTAATAATCAGTTTTCTTTGATTTTGAATTGATTTGAATGTAGTTTTTATACAGTATTTCATGTGTTTATATGATATGAGTGGAAAGTGTAGGCGTGTATTATCAGTACCAGTGCTTAACTCCTATCAATAATCGCTTTTCAATTAATGTCTAATACTTTGCATTGTTTTCCAATCCATAGATAAGACAATCGACACGACTGTCAGACAACAACTCAATCACAACAAAGTTGTCACTAATTCGCAAACAAACCACAAGTCAGCGAAACCAAGCGCTCAGCCCTCACACCCCTCTCCCCGACAGCTGTCCTCTCCCTTACACCCGATGCCGGCGCCCCGCAGTCGCCACAACGTGCCCGACGGCAACGCCAGTCCCGCCATCGACCCACTCATGGATCGGACGCCGTGCGGGTCCGAGTCGTTGACGCCGAGCTCTGTCGAGTCCTACGAGACGCCGCCGCACATCCGTTGGGCGCAAGACTTTTACTATTTGATTGACGACAAGGACGGCGTCGCCCTCTTCAAGGAGTACCTGAAACGCGAGAGCGGTTTAGACTATTTGCTGGACTTCTGGTTCGCGTGTCGGGGCTTGAAGTCCGAAGAGGACAAAGAGGTGATCAAGAAGTGGACGAATGTTATATTCAAGAAGTTTATCAGGAAATGTGTGATTAAGGATATATCGAGTGAAGTGCGCGACAGTCTGTGCAAGAAATTGGGCGCCGATTCGTCGACACCCATAGACCCGACGGCCGACAGTCGCTACGATCGGCACGTCTTTGACGGCGCGCAACAGGAGGTCGAGGATCAGCTCAAGGGTCCTATATATGTGAACTTCTTGCGCTCAGAGCTCTATCTAAACTACTACCACAAGCACTCGTTTCCCGACAGTCAGGGTATGGGTGCGACCGGCGGTTACGACGAGCCCCTGTCGGTGGACGACAGCACCGCGAGTTCGGCGGAGTCGAGTCAAGCGGACGACTATAACCCCCGAAACCAATTGTACGAAGTGTTGCCCACACTTCATGAGGAGCACGAACTCAGCACTACATACGCCCCGATGAATGTCCTCAACAGTTTGGCCGCCAATACTCGATCTCAAGTGAACCGCAAGTTTCACTCATCACAGCCGCCGCTCGACGACTGCCAAAACCTAATGTCTTCCGGCTCTTCAGACACACTCAACAGACGACTCAATTCGTTGGCCATTACGAGGCGCTCGACATCGATGTCGGCCGCCAACGGCTCAATGCCATCCTCTTCTTCCTCCTCATCGTCTCGCGTCACCACTGAATCGCATCCCATTAGCCATCCGTTTACTCGACTCAGTCATCCGGGGCTCCAGTCGTACGCGCGGTCCGCGTCTATGCCGTTGCCGCCCCACCCCTACCACGTGTTGTACGCGCCCAAAGTGTTGCCGTCGGCTCAGGACAGCGAAGTGAGTACTAACGAGTCGTCATCGCTGGTGAGCGCCCCTCAGGGCACAGATGGCAACGACGGGTCCCGTATGCGCACTAAGAAGCAACACATGAGGCAACAGGACATCCAACAAAACGCCAAATTGAACTCTCAGAACAACGACAGGCCTCACAATCGAAACATGATTCCCGTGAGACCACAGCAACCGCCTCCAC